CGTGCCTAACGAATGCATAAACGGTTACTATTTATAAAACATAGAAACCATAATATAACTATTCTAATAAATTACTTAGGTCTTAATCTACTTAAACAATGTAGACCTCAAGAAGGACAGCTGGATACGAATTGAAAATCAAACGTAAAAAGTTAACCTTATTCTCTTTCGATCCAACCGTTTCCGACCCTCTTATTTCTAAGCATTTTTATCTTACTTAGAGACCAATCCAGATTATATTGTCTAAACGAAAGTTGTAGATTGGTATCATATGAGTCTATTGATTTTGAAATCATTTCATTTGGATCATCCATCTATTTTATATGAATTTCACAAAACTGTAAATTAATACCGAATACAGTGTAAACAGCCCCAAAAGCACACTGTTTCGAGCCACCTAGAGTCATAAATGGATTTTTGACCCTTAATGAAAGTTGTAGTATGCAGTATGATCTTCTTGACTGCAAAATACGAGCTTAATCCGACTTACGGTTTGTGAGTTATACAATGTCAAAGTACAAGGGTTACATTGTCGGTAAAATTCGATTCCGTAATCCCGACTAAATTTTATGATCCAACTTTCATGATTCGCTACATTTACATGCTATAAACATACTTCAACATACTAAACAGTAAAACAAGTCCAATGGTCATTAACCTAATCTTAATCATGCATTTTTTACTCTTTTCGGCATTTAACCGAACAATTGATGTACGGTTAAACATTTACCCACAATCTAACCATATTGAAACTATAATATACCCTTTTTATTTCTATAATATACCCTTTTTATTTCTACATCAATATAACCAGTATTAGCATCCCAAACATCAAATATATCATGATTTTGACAAAATCAATCCGTAAACTTAGATATAAACACAGTTTATAAACCGGTCTAAATAACCCTAAAATAAACACCTTAATGAAACTGAATGAAACTTATACCTTTAAGAAGGGTTCGTAGAGTGGATTCCGAATATATAATTGTTGCCTCGATCCCCTTAGTAACTTGACGTGAAATTTAGAGAGAAGACGAAAGTTTTTAGAGAGAGAAAATGAGAAAGAAACTGAGATTGAGAATTGAGAATGAGACTGGCGGTTCATCACCGCCTTCCCTAGCACATATATATAATTTTTTGTTTTTATTTATTTATATATACATATATATATAAAGTTTAATTATTTGGCGGTTTTGACCCTATAAGTCTAGATTCTCAACTTTACATCAATATTGGTATAAACTTAACTTTTAACACAAAAYTAGTTTAGGGTACAAGTTAGTTAAGCATAGAATACAAATATGTTATGCATAATTTTACCAAAAAATCACTTAACCCGATTTGTACGAGTTAACGAAACACGGATATTATAGGCATAACTCTCGTTAAAAAGTCCAATTGAGTCAAAATGACACCAACTAGGTCAAAATCAGTCCCATTAGACCCTGATGGTTTTAGTGCGCCAATTTATTCGTAACGAGTCTAATTGGGTCAAAATGACACTAAATGGGTCATAGTTGGTGTAACTACATGTTCATATGACTATTTGAGGTAGAATGAGTCTTAAGTGTCCTTAATGGGTCCATCTACACTTATTGGGATATTGGTTCCTATTGGGTATAATCGAGTCATTTGGGTCAAAATGACAATAAATGTATCATAATTAGTCTGATTAGACCCTAATAGGTTAATAGGGCTCATTTATCCATAAGGATTCTAATTGGCTCAAAATGACACTAATTGGGTCATATTTAGTTTGATCAGACTTAATGGGTATGATGTGCATAGTTCGTCATAATTAGTTTAATTAGACATTAAATGGAGGGATTGAAGGTCCATTTGGTTTTTTTTTAACGGAAACCAGACAAATTTATAAAACCATAAAAAGAAGTACAACGATTAAACATCCGACCACAACCAACAAAACAGGAAACCAAAAGACTTGGACATCACCCCATACCAAGCCACCACAAGCCAAAAGGAACAAAGTCCAACCGACTCAGACAAACAACTAAAAATAAAGAAAAGGAGCTTGAAAAGAACAAAGGCTCCCCAAGCCCAAAAACGAACCATCAAGTCAACCAACATTATCCAGCAATCTTCTCTCCATCCAAGCCACACGAATTTCGATCATCTGATCAATAACTTTGATAATCTCCATGGCAGTTCGGCGATCCCCAGTAAAAAGTCTTCTATTTCGTTCTTGCCAAATGTAATAGACAGACGCCGCCACCGCAAGTTTCTGCTTTAACCGCGTTGGACGACGATAGGAATCCGAAATAGTTTCCAAAATTTGATCCCACGCAGAAGGCATAGAAGTCAAGTCCACAATACGCAAGATACTATCCCAAACTTCACGAGCAAAAGTACACTGGAAAAATAAATGTGAATGGCTATCCACACTCTGACCACAAAGTGAGCACWSWAGRTCAGGAGGTTCATCCTTCCAAAKCAAACGGTCTTGTGTAGGAAGACGCCTCTGACAAGCAAGCCATAAACAGAAAGCATGCTTAGGAATATGGCCTGAGAACCACACCGATTTATACCAAGGTACAACAATCGGATAAGAACCCTCCAACGAGGCCCAAGCATTACTAACCTTGAAACCCGAACAGGAATTACGATCATCCCCCAAAAGAACTTGATCCCGAAGAGAATCATTTAAAGAAGGCAAAGGAGAAGAATTAAGCACATCAAACCTGGTACACCACTCATCTGGCCAGGCTCCATCCAAACTCATGAAAAGCTCACGTACCGTAGTTGCAGTAGAGAACCCACAAGAATAGATAAATTGATAAGACAGTAAAGCCGAAAGATCACCACAGGGAAGCCAAGAATCCTCCCAAGCATTTGTGTCCCGGCCATCACCAATCTGAGACAGTAAATATCATCGCAAATGAAGACGTAAGTCCAACAATTTACGGAAGACCCACGACCAATTGGAATTTTTCCGAACCAACCAGAAGTGAGAAGATCGAAGATTATGACGATAAACCCATCGAACCCACAAATAATTATGATGGCAAACAATATCCCAAACATGTTTAGCAAGTAAAGCCCTATTCCAGGTTGCCAACCGCCAAATACCAAGACCCCCTGACTCAAGAGGTCAACACACCACTTCTCATGATAATTTACACCGCCCTCGAGGATCATCCCTTGGAGCCCATAGGAACTTCCAGAAGATCGATTCAAGATCATGAATTAACCCAAACGGAAATAAGAGCACAAACATCCAATGCAACTGAAGAGATTGAAGGACCGCCATAATGAGTTGTCGACGTCCTCCAAACGATAGAAACTTAGACTTCCAATTGAGAATACGTCCCTTAACCTTAGCAATCATAGGGCTATAATCACTTATCTTCAAACGAGCTTGAGATAAAGGTACTCCCAAATAACGGACAGGAAACAAGCCAAGCTTAAAAGGAAGACACTCCAGAATGGCCTCCTTAATGTTAGGGGGCACATTCCCAAAATAAATCTCACTTTTTACAAGGCTTGGTTCCAAACCCGAACGTTGTTGAAAGAGAAAAAGAGCCTTTTTAAGCACCTCCACCGATTGGACATTACCTTTAGTAAAAACAAATAAATCATCAACAAAGCACAGGTGAGTCAAGTCCAGCTCCTCACAACCCCGATGGTACTCAAAATCAGATGCCTCCCGGATACAATGCCTAAGGAGCATAAATAACCCCTCCATCACAATCGTGAAAAGATATGGAGATAATGGATCACCTTGCCGAAGACCCCTACCACCATGAAAAAACCCATAAGATTCACCATTAATCGCAAGCGAGTATGAAGTAGTGGACACCATCTCCTTAATCCACTTAACCATAACCGGATGGAACCCCAAACCCTGCAGCATAATAATGAGGAACCGCCAGTCCACCATATCATAAGCTTTTTTAATATCTATCTTGAAAGCACAACTAGGAGGACCTGTCATTGTCTAATACCCATAAACAAGCTCATAAGCCATAAGAATATTATCTGTAATCTTCCTTCCCGGGATAAAGGCCGATTGGGCCTTATCTATTAGGGAATCCAAATAATCCTTCATTCTGTTTACAATGACTTTACTAATGCATTTGTAAAGTACATTACAGCAAGCTATTGGTCGGTAATCCGTAACCATAGAAGCATTAACAAATTTAGGGATAAGACAGATAAGCGTATGATTCAATTCCTTCGGGAGGTTACCTCGATAAAAGAAGTTGTGGATGGCAATCTCCACATCACGCCCAACAATATCCCAAGAAGCTTTGAAAAATCGTGAAGAAAACCCATCAGAACCAGGAGCTTTATGATTACCAATGCTAAACATAGTATTTTTAATTTCATCATTTAGAATCGGCCGAATCATATGATTAGCTTCCGAGATGGAAAGCTTTTTCGTAAAAGAGTGTTCGGGCATAACTGGGTCAGGAGAATCATACCTCTGGCCAATAAAATCTTTAAAGTAGTCAACGAAAACTTTAGGAACATCATCACCATAGACAAACTCACCATTACTAGTGCAGATAGATTGAATTGAATTGGAGTGATGCCGTTCTTTAATCCCCTTATGGAAGAATTTGGTATTCATATCACCCTCATTCAACCACTTAACTTTTGCACATTGCTTCGCTGCACATTCCTCGTCCCAACAAGCATTTTGGTAAGCAATACGAAGATGACCAAGTTCTAAACCCAACTCTGCATTAGACGGATCTTTATCGATGTCCAGTGGAATACGATCTAACTCAGTTTTTAAAAAGGAAACCCTCTTCCCAAGATTACCAAAAGTATTACGAAGCCTACGAAGAGGGACCTTAAGAGCTTTCAAGTGGGAAGTTACCCGAAACATAAAAGTCCCCTCAACATAATTAGACCATTCCTCCTTAACAATCTGCAAGAAATCCGGGTGCTCAGCCATGAAATTATCAAATTTAAAACCATACCTCGTTTTCCATAAACCTCCTTTGAAAGTTAGAACCACCGGCGAATGATCTGAAAGTCCCGCAAAAAGAAATTTAACATTAGCATCATGGAATTTAGAAGTGAATTCTGCATTAGCCATAGCCCTGTCAAGTTTACGCATGATTCCCCCTTCAGAATTCGGCTTTTGGTTCCAAGAAAAGTGTACACCAGTGTAATGCAAATCAAAAACTTCAACATCCTCAACACACGCAAAAAAAATCAGACATATCTATATTATGGTGAGAAGACCCACCAAGCCCATGATGAGGAAATAGCATGGTGTTGAAATCTCCCATTACTATCCAAGGATTTGAACCAATCAACACTTTAAACTTCCGTAACCCCGACCATAATTCTCTTCTGGGATTGCAAACATTTGCACCATAGACCAAGGACAAAAAGAAAAAGTCTTGACCACCTCTTAAAGATAATTTACAGTTCAGGAATTGATTTTGAGCCACCATAACCATAACATCTAATTTACGAGAATTCCAAGCAAGGATTATACGTGTACCCGACACACACGCAACTTGATTAGAAATCCAAGGCCATCGGCCAAAAATCTTTGAGCACACACTTTCAAGAGAATCCTTAGAAACATGAGACTCTACAATAGCACACAAACATAAATCATTGCAATGAATAAAATTTTTCACCTCATTTTGCTTAACCGGAGAATTGAGTCCCCGGATATTCCAAGATGCAAAATTTAACATGATGAAGTGGAAGGTTCAGACCCTTGCTCCCGCCTGTCCACATTCAAAGTGTTCGCAACAGGGTCTTTATCCATAAACAAGTGGTGGTTCACATGAGTTTCCTCCCCGCCTAACTTCTCAACAACACCATATCTGTTAGGGGCCAGCACAAGCTCTTACATAACACCCCTCTGTGGCAAACGTAAGTTTTTGACCACTGAATCAATGAGAGGGGTAGAAGTAGCCATATAATGGGAAGAATGGATAGGTTGGGAAGAAGAAGACCCAGAACCAACAGAAACATAATTCGTACCTGAAACCTTTAATGCATTCTTAACATTCTCTCTAGATTGGACAACTTCATTCGTACCAGTATTCCTCATCTCCATCTGATCCCTTTTCGAGGTACTTGCTATTAAATCCACCGAATGATGGGCATTATTTTCATTCACAGTTTCCTTGCCTTGAACGGAGTGCTTGGGCTTACTTCCGGCGTTCGGCCTCCATTGCTTTTTCTCCACTATGATAAATCCCTCCGCATCCTTCCTCCCATCAACTTGCTTCCCTTTGTGCATACTAGCGGCTTTTGTACAAGCCGAAATTTTATGACCAAAAACCTGGCAATGGGCGCATTGAACCGGCTCCCATAGATATTCAACCTGAATTTTCACTATTTCAGCATCACCACCAGTGAGATTTGGAATTTCTACTTCAATATGCCTTTTCAAATCCCCCATAGCCCATACCTCAACCAATACCTTAGCAAACCCCGGTCTTCCCCAAGCTTTTTCACACATTGATGCAGTGCAAGAATCCATCTGTTTCAGCACTCCCAACACACTCGCAATGCGACTAACACCCTCCTTATTAAAAGCAACTAACATAATATTGTGTAATTTCACCCATAGGGGACAAGAAGAGTGTCCCGGTTTCCTTAACCCCTTAGAGGGATCCCAACGATAGACAAATAGAGGGATACCCCTTATCATTAACGGCCCAACTTCAATAGCCTGGTCACACCCTCCTACATCATTAAACTTGAATAAGAGAATCCCATTCTCATTTAACATTGCATCTCTGAAGCCATACTTTCCCCACGCCTTTCTAACAAAGTTTTTCACTACAGGAAAAGGAATACGAGGGCCCAGAAAGTATCCATACAACACCGAATTATACGATTTAGCAGCTTCCTTAGCCATTTCAATAGGAATTTTCAAACTTACATCCTTTTTATTAGCCAACGGATAAAAAGTAAGGTCCGTGGCACTCGAACAACCCACCGCTTTCACAAAACTTAACTTTTCTTTACCACTCGAGGTATTTTCGAGAGATGAAAGTATCTCAAAAACATAATTCGACTAGGATCATTAGGAAAAGGAGCCGATTCCTCCCCCATTTCCATCGCACACACTAAGAAGTCATGGTGTTTGAAACTAACGTTTAGCGCCCTTAATAGGATAGACGAAGACCTCGAAAACCGGGGTGCTGAATATCTATCAAGGGAATTCAACGAAAGAGACGAGGACCCCGGAAACACTTAGGAGGTACGTAGAAACAGGAACTAAAAAATCGGCACTGAAAAATCCTCTAGACACCTCTTAAAAACAGAAGCAAACCCGAACAACAGCGATCAAACTCCAAAATCACGGATAGATAACAAACACCCACTATGCAGAAATCAAACTGAGCTTGTTGTTAAAAGACTGGAACCGAGGCTCAAAATAGCAGCAGAAAACAGTTTATGATTAATACCCGGAACTAGATCAAAATCATGCAGCAAGACAAACCCACACCCACTCAATAACCAGCAAACAGCAGAAGAAAATTACCCAACAGCACTTTAAAAATTTCTAGTAGCAAGAAGGAAATACCGCAGCAAAAACAGCAACCAAACCGCAAAATAGTCACACACAATCATAAACAGTAGTCTACCAGGAGCTGCAGTAGTCAAAACAACCAGCCTATCCAATCTAAACCCTTGCAAAACAGCCGAGGAGAAGAGCCAACTAGCAGATCAGACGGTCAAAACCCAAAACAGCGAGAAGCAACAGCAAAGAAACAGGTCAGGCTGAACCAACATTAGCAAACAATATTCAACCACATAAACTCAAACTCCTGCCAGAACTGAATCAGCAAGAAAACATGCAAGAAGTCGCATAAAATCAACGAGAAAGGAGCCTCAATTCTGGTTAAGCCGAACGAAACAATAGAACAAAATCACACGCAAACAGATCGTCTTCAACCAAGATTAAACCAACGAAAAACAGTCTTAATCAAAACAACACATAAAATCATAGGATGAACAGCACCTCGTAACCCTAACACACCCACAAGTCTAGCACCCAACTGAACACTAGGTCGAAGCATACAGATCACCAGGTTTAATACCGAAGCAAAATGTAACAACCCTCATATTCCAAATACATATAATTCACATTATCATACTCATAATACTAAAATAGTATTATTACAAAACATGGACTATCAAAATGTATCTCTAATACATATGTGAACATGCTACTATCATCATTCAAACTTTTCCCTTGCCTTTATCTTTCATCGTACACTGACCTGCAAAACAGGTTAGTCCAACATCTGAGCGTTAGACCAAAAGGTCTAGTGAGTGTATAAYCTCATGCAACATTATATATTCCAAACAATCAGTTTAGAATCAAACCTGTTCCGAAACAAATCATATTTATGTTTCTCGCGGTAACATCGCTGTTACATTCTCTTATCTCTTTCTCACTCGCAGTTATACTGCCATTATATCACTCTCGCGGTTACACCGCCATTATATCACTCTCGCGGTTACACCGCCATCTCACCCGCAGTTACACTGCCATTATATCACTCTCG